AATCTCAACAGAAAGAAAATTTAATACGTAGTTTTTAAAATCACTGATATACTTTTTTAATATGGCCGTGGGGGTCGCCAGAATTTTTTAACTTGTAAAGGGGTCGCGTATTCAAAAAGGTTGAAAAACACTGATGTAATGTAATTGGTCAGTAATTAATCAATGTAAATATTTCTTTATTTCTTATGTTATTTATATAAGATAAAGTTTGTCATTCAACACCATTTCGTAAATAAATAAATATATTTAAACTGTTTTTGATGTTATTAAAAATGAATTTTAAATCCCAATTTAAATGGGGTTTTTCAGGGCCTAGGGCTAGGTTTTAGGGTGGATTTAGGTTTTTCAGGGACGTAGGGCTTATTGAAGCCAATAGGGGCCCCATTGGACTTCAATAAGCCCTAGGTCCCTGAAAAACCTAGATCCGCCTCTGCCTACAGGCATGTCTGGCATTCGAAGACCTCCAAACAGGTACTGTACACTGAAATTTCTGAATACAGTGAACCAATGTGAGCCTTTTTATAAGACAAGATATTGGGGTAACGATTTTAAGACACTCAGGTGATTTTACCTACCATGAAATATGACCACGACTGTAATCATTTATATACCTAGTTGCAGTAATGAGACAACTCCATTTGGGTGCATAATTTTTGTCAATAAGTTGTGATTTAAAAGTTAAGAATTACCGTTACTCCTAATTAGCCAATTATTTTTTTATTATTATAATTTTTACATCATCTGTATTATTATTAGATTTAAAAAAACACTGGAATAACATTATTCTAGTAAACAATAAAATAATTTGAGTCTTATATTTACTTTCCTGCTGTTATAATAGAGGGAAAGTATGGCGATCCGCAAAAAATGACCCCCAATTTTTGGACTTAGGTACCTTGAAATGTTGAGAAATGCAAAAAAAAAAAAAATGGTGGTAATTTCTGTACGTATGGATGTTTTGTTTACCCTCTTTGAAGCTTAATAACTCCTGTGCTTTTTGCCACAAATTTCTGAAATTTTGCAAGGAGTTTATATTAGGGAGATCGATGCTATTAATTTCGGTGGTTAAAAGTCGAGGGGGTGGGGAGATAATGGGGGTCGAGTATTTATCAAGTAGGGTCGGATTTAATGACGATTTTACTCATTATTAGCATTTACTTTCTATATTTTTAATTATTATAAAATGGCAAAAAATTAATTTTGAGAGTAGGGATGGGTTTTATAAAAAAAAAAAATGTAAATCCGACCCTATTGTGACCCCCTAAAATCTCCCCACTCCCTCGACCTTTAATCGCCAAAATTTAATAGTGTCAATTCCCTAATACAGAAACATTCCTGCAAAATTTCAGAAATTTTCGACAAAAAGCACAGGAATTATTAAGTATCAAAGATAGTGAAAAAATCGGCTCCCCACACACTAACATATTCTGCCAACCCCATAATGGAGAGACCGATTGGTGAAAGACGGATCCGAATATCCGGATCGAACTATCTCCGAAAAATTCTACGTTTTTTTATCCGCCAGATTCAATCTCGGGTACTCCATAGCGTTGGGCTGATGCCTTAAATCGCCTCGGACATTCGGCCAAGTTCACTTATATTAATGTTTCCGCCCGATTTTGAAAAATTTTTCACAATGAATTAAATTAGTGTATTAAATCCGTGAAAGTACTGTATATCTTTTTACTCATTTAACAAAAGCATTTCAATAATGCTAACCTTGAAATTACAAGAATGTTAATTTATTATACCACAAATGTACTATACTACTTAACGCAGCATAAATAAGTTTCATGGAATATGGAATTTAATCTAATGTTATAAACTTCGCCGTATTATTAAATAATAAACTAGAAACATATATAATAAATATTATTTTTAAAATATCTTTTGTTTTTTAATAAGAAGACTATAGTGCCTTTTTAGAATGTTCTAAATATGTTCTGAACAGTGAACGACCCTCCCTCCCCCTTACGTCACCGTTGTGTCACAATCACACCAACAAAGAAAATAATAATAAATAGCTTTCAGAATGTTTCCTACCCTCTCAATAGGAAAATTCTGTTGAAAATACCCGTGCTGTTGAAAGAGGTTGAATGCTATTTGATTCTTTTCAAGCATAAATTTTATGCTCATTTTTTCTATTGTATTTTCAGAATTTTAATTTGATGTAACTGTTTTTATACTTGCACGTTCAGATGTGATTATTTGGAAAAAAAAACATTCGTTTCGTAATACCGATTTAATATTTATAATAATAAATATTTAAAAACGTTTAGATATTTGGTTATTAAAATATCTTATCATCGATGCTTGCTCAATTTTGTTTTTGAAATTCGTTTTCTACAGTTTGTATAGTAGATGTACCTATATATACAAACAATTTACCTATTTTTTGTGCAATCTCTGAAAGTTTTTAACATTTAACACGCATTTCTTAATGTTACGTCAGAATGGACCAGATGATGGGCAGTCCTGAAAAACAGCCATCTTTCTATTTTCATTCTGATAATGCAGCCATAATATAATTTATCACAAATGCTATTTATATTTGAAGCATTGAATATAGTGTTACAAGATAATTTAATCATGTATTTTCTTACGAGTAATTTTAGATAAATATCAATTCACAAAAAATACAGTACATGTATTAATTTATAAATATATATTTAGAATATGATGACAAAGATAAACTAAATATAATAGTTATGATCTTAAATTTCTGACTTAAATATGTTTTAATCAAGCTGCTTTTTTCACATCATAAACATATTTTTATCTTCTACTTAGTATAAAAGCAAGCAATTTTAGAAAAAATGCATTATAACAGTATTTTCTACTCAAAAGTATAACACACAAAGCATTACCCTGACTGATTAAGAAAATTATCTGTTTATTTTTGCAGCTAATTGCGGCTTGTTTATGCAGCGTTTCCAAAAATCTGTCAGTCATTTTTATATAAAATGTGTAATAATACTAACAATCAAAAGTGTGTCAGCATTACTGAATAGTGATTAGCAAAAAAATGAAGGCGAATATTATTTTGTTAGGCAATTTCAGTAGGCATTTCTTGACATGCATGGTAAGTGAAAAAACACAAGTTGTCATTCTATTTTAGAGTAAAATATTTTCCCATGAGTTTTTCATTTATTCTCTCTATAAAAAGTTACTCTATTTTTGCAAACAATAAAAATTTCAGTTTTACAATTTATATTTGTTTCTTTATTATTGCATTGTATTATGTCTTATGAGGAATTCTTAGATCTCAAATGGAATTTTTTAATAGGCCTGAACCAACATTTTGGCTAACATTGAGATTACATGTGACCAAGCTGTTAAAGCTTGACCTAAATTTATTTTCTATTATCTTTCAAACATTAGTTTTTATTCAAAAGCAATTAAAATAATATTAAAAATAGAAGAAAATATAAATGATATAACACTTTCTATAATGCTCACTATATCATTATTTACCTTTAGCAGCAGTGTTACAGTATTTGATGATTTAGTTTTTCAGAATTTAATACAACTGTTCTGTTGGAAATTTTAGATAAAGTGTATGGCAAATTTTGTTCTAGAAAAATTAAATGAACTAAAAATCTTCTGTAGCACATTCCTTAATGCTTCAANAAATATCTTATCATCGATGCTTGCTCAATTTTGTTTTTGAAATTCGTTTTCTACAGTTTGTATAGTAGATGTACCTATATATACAAACAATTTACCTATTTTTTGTGCAATCTCTGAAAGTTTTTAACATTTAACACGCATTTCTTAATGTTACAAATTAAACATTGTGTAAAATTGAAGAAATTTGTTTGACATTATTATTAAAAATAGTAATAATAATAATAATTAAAACATTGTATATAGAACCTGCCTAATTTCAAAACTGTTTTAAAAATAAATATTTAAGGTCAAATACTGTGATTGTATTTAACGATAAAAATGAAATATTCGTCATTAAAATGTTAGAGGTGGTTTTTTTTTCGCTGATAAATTCACTGATTAATGCCTTGCTTTATTGAATATCTAAATTTCTATTGATTGAATATATTTTTAGAAGCAAAATGCTTCAGTTGAGCCAGGTAAATGAATGAAGAAAATATTGAATTTATGATACATTTGGATATTTACGTTTGTTTCCATCTCTGCTTTATTATTTTATTAATGGTCATTTATTTTGAACTAATTGGCCTAATTAAGTTTAAGGATTGTAATTTTTATAATTAGTGTATCTATGTTTTGTGTTAATTTGTTATCCCTGTATACTGTTAGTTGCCCAGTATGATTGAAGAGCAAATTAGCTTTGTATTAATTAANTTAATATAGTAATTTAATATATATTATTTTTAGTGTTAAAAAAATATTAGAAATATTTATAGAAACATATTCTAATGAAATCGATAGGTTTAATCATAGAACCACATGATAAACGTTGTTTATATTTTTCTTAATAACTAGAAAATTTATATACCGTTGTCAGTTGTGAAACTTAAAATGTTGTATAAATTATACCGGTATTATTATACCTGTGGAGTAATTTATACTGGTTGACTCATTGATCCAACTTTTTAGCGTGCTCTTTTGTCGAATAAAGATTTTAAACTTTTCCTACAGGACAGAAATTAAATCCAAAGTTCGTTAAATCGAGATGTGTTAAATCAAGGGTCTTTTATATTTACAAAACACGCAATTTAAAGCTCCAGAATTATCAGTTTTGAGATAGACTAAATAATACATTTCATTCATATTTGCACTTGAAAATTGATAAATTTGAGTAAATAAGTTTTCGTTAGATTTGGTCTCATCAATCTCTATCACTTATGTTTAAACTAGAGAAAACATGTCAAGGCTTTTAATATTTCTTATATAAATAATGCATGCTATCTGATCTTACATATTTAAAATCGTTAATAATTATAATTAACTACGTTATATTTTTCCTTAAATATAGAGGACATTCGAATTAATTAAAAAATTTTTAAAAATCATTTTAGTAACGGAACGAAGACAGTTGTCATGAATAGGGCAATAGGAGATCAGATGACGTCATAAGGTAGGTGATACGCGATTTTTTTTTTAATAATTTTTATCTTTTAGTGCTAGTCATAATTAAATATAGTTGTATCTATTAGGTTGTGTTTAAAGATTAAAGGTAAGAGGAGTGTCATGTGTCTTTTTGTGGAATTAAGACATTTTAAATTAGTATTAATCGTAAACTTGGCATATTTAACCTATATTGACTGTATAATTAAGATGTAAAAGTTTACCTTTTATCATATTTTAACTTCTCATATCGAGTTACATATCCGCTTATGTAATTTATCTTTAAGCAATTCATGGTGTTTTATTGTTTCCGGGAATGTGTAGGCAGTTTAAGTTTTGGGAAAGTCGAAAACATTACTTACGCGTAAAGTAATATATTTTTAAAGTTATTTCGTGTTGAAATTATGCGTTATACTTTTATTTTGGGGATATTTTCGATGACTTTTCGTTTTAAAAAAACTTTCGAATTATATAGCGACTTGTGTAATCTACGATGATAATTATCGCCGTTTAGGACACGTATCCAGGTCTGATTTTTTAAAATAAAATGACAGTTTATTCGAAATTAATTTTAACATTGGCGCAAATTAGTTTATTAAAATATGTTGAAGCGGCATCGTCCATTATAAGCCGAGTTTTATGTACTGTACACGTGGCAAAACGCGTACAATAATAGATGCATCGTTATTATTGAACTACAAGTTCAACTACTCTACTTCTATCGCACTCGAATGCGGTCATTCCGATAAATTGTCAAATCAATGTCGCGAATGTGTTCTTGAAATATAATCTGTATTAATTAATCACGACCATGCATTGCCAAATGTTCTAGATTTCCGATGTAAACAAAGGTCGCTGACACTGTCCTACTTAGATTAAATTTTCTTTTTATTTGTTTATTTTACCGGAATAACTACGAGATATTCGTCTGCAGTTCTATTTTCTGCTTCAAAATAGTTATGTGAAGTAGTATATATATTTTTTCATTAGTTAATAATTAGATTAATTTTTTTTTCTTTAGCTTTCGGAAGAAATGGACGTAGAAAGTCTACGAAAGGAACTAAGCCGCTTTGGCCAGGAACACTTGTTGCATTTCTGGGACCAGTTAAACAACGAACAAAAAACTGATTTGTATAATGATCTGAAAAGTATCGATTTAGCTTATGTAACTAAAATCTTTAAAGATTGCGTGAGTAATGGAGGAGGAGACGATTCGGGAAAACTGGATGATGTTCTCCAACCGATACCTTCCGACTTATATGGTAGCGTATCAAGAACTAGTCCTGAAAAATTAAGAGCATACAGAAATGAAGGTGAGTTTTATCTATTATTGGAAATTACATCAAGAATTTTTAAATTATCAAATTAGATAAAGACAATTTTAAATCGCTATTATAAAACTTTACAATTTGTGTAATTTTCAGATAATAGCAAATTTGATGAAAATCTCATGATAAATGTCACTTCTAAATTAATAATTTGTGACTTAATAAATTAATCAGGGGAATTTTTATTTTTTAAGAAAGGATTTTGTTATTTCTTATTTTATAAATAATAATAAAATTATTATATCCTTATTTTAATTTGCTTTATTTATATTATTTGTTAGAATTTTTCTATAATAATAATAATATTTGTCCAATATTATTCTAGAAAAGAAAACATTTTCTAGTATAAAATATTTTCATTGATTTTAATTTTAATAAAAATTTTAAATTGAAAAGATTTTTTCAAAAATATTTTAGTATTTGTTTATAAAAAATATAAAAAACTTAATATTTTCATATGTATTTGTATGTAAATACTGAAATATTAAAGTTTGCTTCAGTAGAAGCCAGTAAAAATATGAAAATATTTTCATACTTCATCATAAATGTTGTGGTTAAAGTGTGTTGTTTCTATTATTATTTGAAAATTTGTGTTTATAGAATAACAACTTTATTGAAAATATTTAGTTATTTATTTATCCTCACTTCAATTAAAAGAAGGATATTGTCCTAAATACAGAATAACTTCTAAATTGTGTTCAGAACCCAGGTGTTTTTAGCTGTGGTAGTTCCAAGAGATTATCATGTTATATCATTATTACAGCTTCAACAATAGAACAAAAGTTTATTAAAATTAAAAAAGAAGCACAAAAGGTGTTTAAAAATAATTATTGATAAAAAAAAGTTTGAAAAACCTACATCAAGGAAAAAAATAATAATAAAAATGGTGATATTTTAATAATCTGAAACTGTGCTTCAAACTTTGTTGCTTCAAACACAATGAAGTGTTATAAATTAAGATACTTGGCAGTTTTCTCATCTTTTATTCAGTTGATACATGTGAAATTATACACGTTTCGGGCTCTCAAGCCTCTCATCAGCTAACTGTGTATACACTCACTTCCAAAAGTTAAGCACAGAGCAGAAAATGTTGATGTTTGGAAAGCAATCTGCATTTGAGAGGTTGCAATTCACTGCAGAGGTAGGTGGAAGTATGCAAATATGTTATGTTACTATCAATCATGATTACGTGTCGCGAAATATGCAAAACACACAGTCGTATAAGAAGCCAGCCTTCTGAAGTGGGAGAGGAGTTGCATGTAAGTGCCGAGAAAAAGTGTGGAGAACTGTCGTACAATTAGTGTGCATGACTGATGTGTTTCTATGACTTCCAGAGGACGAATGACAGACAGTGAGCACTGGCTGTGTATGGGACGCCTTGAAACAGGACAATCAATCACAGATGTTGCTCTTTTCTTCGGTGTTCATCATTCTGTCATTTCACGGTTATGGAAACAATTCCAAACAAGCCAAACAGTTGTCCGAAGACCTGTGGCTGGTTGCCCAAGAGTTACGATCCCTGCAGAAGATTGCTATATTGCTGTTGTAGCCAAGCGGAATCAAAGAGCAACCTCTACACGTATGACATTGATGATTGCTGCAGCTATTGGTAAAACGATATCTGCTACTACTGTGCGCCGAAGGCTACACATGAACGGACTGTATGCCCGGGTACCACGAGTTTGTGTTCCACTATCTGTCCAATTCAAAGGCACATGATTAAAGTGGTGTCGGCAACATGCGAATTGGACTGTGTCTGATTGAGGCAACGTTATGTTCACGGATGAGTCGCGATTTTCCCTGGAGCCAGATGACAAACGTGTAAGAGTATGGAGAGAAAAAGGCACACGCAACTGACCTCAGAACATTATCGAGCATCACGCATTCCGAGGTGGAAGTGTTATGGTATGGGCAGGCATTTCGTTGGGATATTGCACCGACCTGCACATCTATCGAAGGGGTTCTGTAACTGCTGTCCGGTATCGGGATGAAGTCCTCAAACCTATTGTGAAATTGTATGCTGCAGCAGTTGGTCCTGCTTTTGTTTTAATGGATGATAACACATGACCCCCTAGAGCTGCCTTCGTTGACGACTACCTCGAGAGAGAGGGAATCGCAGGTATGGATTGGCCGGTGTATTTGCCAGCCCTCAATCCCATTGAGAATCTTTGGGATGCCCTCGGCCGTGCTGTGTGTGCACGTTTCCCACCCCCTGACACTCTCACAGAGTTGCAAACTACTCTACAGGAGGAATGGAACTTATTTGACTCTGGAGTGGTTGATCACCTCATGGAAAGCATGGTTACATGCTGTAAACTTTGTGTAAAGATAAGGGGTGACCATTTACCCTATTAATGTGGGTTTTGTTTGTTTGTTTTGCATTTAAACATCATTTTATTAATGATTCCAATATGATTTCATCTTATGCTTTATGAAAATTCAATATTGTTTTCATTTTTCTATGTAATTCTTTGTGTTGTTTCATGCATAAACATATTTGCTACTGTCCTGCCACATTTTGTGTCAATCACAGATGTATTTGTCGATTTTTTTGCAGTTTATTGCTCCGTGCTTAACTTTTGGCAGTGAGTGTATTATATATGTATTGTATACTTCTTTAATATTTTAGTTGGCTGATGAGGGTCTTGGGCACCTGAAACATGTATAATTTTACACATATCAACTGAATAAAAGATGAGAAAACCCACCAAGTGTCTTAATTTATAACACTTCATTGTGTTCGAAGCAAAAAAATTATGGTCTTGAATATTATACTTAAATATTTTCTGATAAAGTTTATTTAATGTTTAGTAGATGTTAAATAAACTTTATCAGAAAATATTCAAGTATAGTGGTATAGAATTAACGTAAGATCAAATTACAGGTTTATTTATATACTACTAGGAGATTATGACAGGCTATAACTTCACACTTAATGGCCCATAAAAGTCCGGCAATTAGATCTTTGGATAATTCAATATTGTGCTTTGGTTTATTTGTGTAGGGATATAGATCAAATATTATGATAAAATATACAGATGACTTTATAATTTATCATGAGTTATTCTACACAAAATGATGTATAAATAAATTACTAATATTTAGAAAATTTATTTATAGTTGAGAAACTGAGTAGATAGGAAATAGTTGAAATTTGGAAGAAATTATACAATATAACATAAACAGAATTTGAATTTACTTTAATATAGTTTGAGAATTCAGTTTTAGATTGTGTTTAGAGTCCAAACAGTTTTTATTTTATATTAATATAATATGGGTTTTTTATATTAATATAATATGGGTTTGCTAAGAATGTTGAATCAAAATTTTTTTAATCATAAATTACAATACATTTTGAAAATGATTTAACAAATCAAAATTTTTAAATAACAAGTAACCATTTTTAAGAATTTAGAAATAGTGTGGGTCAGATCAGTTAAAGCTCAACTCAAGACGTTACAGAAAGCTTAAATAATCTCTCAAAGAAAGAACTGTACAATTTATATAATTTTGTAATTAAAATTGTGAAGAAAGATATAATTATTAAATAACCAACTAAATTTAAGAATTTGTAAGGAAATAACTAAAGACGTAAATTTTTGGTATTTTGTTTACAAAATGTATATTTTAATATTTTTAATTGGTTAGTCCCTGAGTAATGGTGTGCCCACCCTTTATACTAATAAAGACTAATAATGATATTGCTTTATTTTTTCCAGTTTTGGGGTTCTGAGTCTAGGATTACACACTACGCATGTGAGGCACATGCCTAGTGGGTAATCCAGCACTGTGTGAAATTATATAAAATTATATTGATTATGAACAATTATTTATTGTGACATTGTCACAATGTCAGGCTGCAATTTTTAATCACATTTTTAATTTATTTTATTTAAAATATATGCTCTTCACCTCAAGTTAGTAGTGGCTTGATCCTGTATATCATATTTTTCCTTTAACAATAGAATCGTGCCATCAATCTATTAACTGTTCTCAGGGGAAAGTTTTGAATTGAAATAACATGACTTCTGGTTTTCATCAGACATTCATATATAGTTAATCAGGGCCTCCTGCCCCTAAGTTTCTGTCTCTGGGCTCGACTTTCATGTATCTAACTTCGTTCTCAAGATTAAGGAAGGACAGACAACAGTGGGAATTTATAGCTCTACAATTTTTTCAAATTGCAGCCCATCAACTATTAAGGTTTTCAGTTCTCAGCTGTTTTAATCTTTCAGTCATTTTATCAATGACAAATCAAAAGAATATGAAAACATACAGTATTTCCTCTATTTTCATGGTTTTCATTGACACAAATTCACTTTAATGCATTTGAAAAATTTAAAAATTTTAAATACTGTCAAGAAATAAATTTTCAACTTTATGGAAATAAATGATAGTTATATCAAAAAGTTTTTTGTTGTCAGTAAACTCTTATATAAATGTATATTTAAATTATTCATGTAAATGGAAGGATTACTGTGTTTTAAAAAAATGTTCACTTATGAAAAGTATAATGAAAACTGAAGAAATAAAGAAGTAATTCAATTTGCAAATATGAATGTATTGTTTTATTATTGTAATTAATCCCTGAAAATATATTTAATTACTTTTTTTCTATTAATATATATTATTTTGTTTCAGTTGTATAAATATTAAGTTTTTGTTAGATTAAGTACAACAGACTATTTTGCAAATAATAAAAAATGTAATGCAATCTTTTGTAATAAGTAATGAATTGTTTTAATTAATGATTAAAAATAGAAAAAAAATTTAAATATTTTCCTCAATTTATATGCTATTTAAATTTAAAAACTTAGCATATTTTATAAAGAAAATATTTTGAAAAAATCAAGAAATGTTCTAATAATTTAAAATAAAAATTGAATGAATAAAATTAGTAATTTAACAGATATTTCAATTGATTAAATCATATATTTAAAATGATTATGTAAAAACAAATAAAAAAAATAAAGAATGTTCTGATAGTGTTTTATCTATACAATATTAATATGTTATATTAACTTATTTTACTATCAAATATTCTTATCATAAGGCATTATATAATTATTATTTTATGTAAAAATTATAGTTGATTATGTTTGAATGAATAAGAAATTAATTAATACATATTATGTGTTATTTTTTAAATTAACTATATTTTAATTTGTATTTAATTAATAAATTAATATTAGCTTGATGATGATTGAATGAATTTGATAAGTTACTCATTTTAATAAATATGACTTAAATAGTTAAGTTTGTTCAAATTTTTTTTTTTTTTTTTGTAAGGTTTACAACAAATAGCAAATGGAAAAGTAGCAGTTTTGCTTTTGGCTGGTGGTCAGGGTACACGTTTGGGTGTTTCTTATCCAAAGGGCATGTACGATGTTGGCTTACCATCTCGTAAAACATTATATCAACTTCAAGGAGAACGTATTCGTCGTCTTGAACAATTAGCTTATGAATATACTGGAAAGAAAAGTACTGTTTCTTGGTATGTTAAGTTTTGTTTATGTATCTAATATTAAAGTCAAATGAACTGACAAATTATTGAGCTATATATAATTGGCAACACATTCACATGGTACATGGGAGTTGCAGGTCAGTCCTGCTTCAGGGCAATTCTTTTCTTCCAGAAAATTCTAAATTAAATTAAATTTGTTATAATGGCTATATAACTGCCTATCTCTNTTTACTTTTCTAGAATAGAAAATTATAGGAATGAATAGAAAAATTAATCTATATATATAGATTAATTTTGATGTGTTCACATATAATAAAATTCAGCAGTTCATTTAACTATTAATCAGGTTTGAGTTGATGTGTTCACATATCATATATATATGATATGTGAACACATCAACTCAAACCTGATTAATAGTTAAATGAACTGCTGAATTTTATTATATGTGAACACATCAAAATTAATCTATATATATAGATTAATTTTTCTATTCATTCCTATAATTTTCTATTCTAATAAAGTAAAAATTAATATTGCATATATCTCATTTGAATAATTAGCTAAATTAGAACAGACTACAGTACTATAAATACTACTTTTAGTTTTATGAGTGATATTTATACTTTTTATCCAGTATACAGTGTGTTTATGACTTTAATACTGTGAATGGAATATAACTTATTCCATATAACCAAACATATATTTCAAAATATTTTTAAAGAATTCCATCAGTTGCCATAGCTATCATAAGTACAAACATTCAACAATTTAAACTGTCATAAATTCAATAATTACAAATTACTATCACATTAATGATCTCAATGTCAGTTTACACTTAGTCAGTGTGTTCAAATAAAAATAGAAATAGCATTTTAATCTTATAAATATAGTATTTTAATCAAAATATTAATTAATTAATTTTTCATTTCTATGAATTGGATCTTAAAATTTTTATGCTGTAACATGTTAGTCAAAGATAAATCATATACGAGGCAATCAATGAATATTGTGTATCTTTGAATGTGATTATGAAAAATCTAAAAACGGGAAATATTTCAAACAGTTTAAAAATCAGGACGGCATTACTTCTTTATATTAATCATTTAATTAGCCTAATTCTAGCCCAATCTTTCAAGCGATCATTGGTTATTTCAGGACATCATATTAAAAAAAGCAGGACTGTTCATCTAATTTGGGATATGGTCACTTTATAACTTCTCTAAAAGTACAATTAATTTTAATTTATAACAATTATATAAGAATTCTTTTTGCCAGAAGCATTTGTTTCTCTTTTGGTACAGGTTTTCTTAAACAGTTTTTCTATACAAAAAAAAAATCTTAATTTTGTGTACAAGGCATTGTAAAAAATATTTATGAAATATATCATCTGATTATATATACAGAATTTGTATATAATTTTTTTAAATTTAAGAATCAATAGTTTATTATATAAAATTTCTAAGCATATTAACAATAAGCAAAATATTTTTAAATATGTAATTTATATAACAAGTAATTTAAAGTATATTTTTATTTAGGTATATAATGACAAGTGAACATACCATGGAACCTACTTTAGAGTTTTTTGAAAAAAATGAATATTTTGGTTTGAAAAGAGAGAACTTAATTGTTTTTGAACAAAATATGCTTCCTTGTTTTACCTTTGATGGAAAAATAATTTTAGAAAATAGCTGGAAAGTTGCACGAGCTCCTGGTATTATTTTAATGTGTTAAATTTATTTTAAAAATTAAATATTAACAGTATATAGAATATGTCATTATTCGTATTGTATAATTTTTTCAGATGGTAATGGTGGCTTGTACAAAGTTTTAAAAAGTGCTGGTATTCTCACAGATATGGAAAGGAGAGGTATTCGGTATGTTCATGTTTACTGTGTGGATAATATCTTAGTGAAAATGGCAGATCCAGTGTTTATTGGTTATTGTGTAGGAAAAGGTGCTAACTGTGCTGCTAAGGTAACAGATATTATTAAATATTGAATAATTATTAAGATTAATTCTATAGTATGAAGTATTTATACCAAATTCCATCAACTACCAACTTATCATAACTTAACCACACACTTCTTGAACCTTCCTCCCTTTTCCTCTTTCTGAACATTAATTCTATCAAACATTTTTGACTTGATGCAGATCTTATTAGAATCAAACGTATGTTATGATGTATTTATGTTAAATTATATTTGCTGCTATATTTTGAAGGTTTTGTTTGTGTTATTTTTTTATATTGATTTATTGCAGAACGTGTACACATAATGAACAAAATTTAAACTGCTAGTACAGTCTATAATGTGATTTGTATCTCATTTCAATTATTATTTCAATGTTGTCAATTAAAAGGAAAACTACTGTTTAGATATATTGCTTTATTATATTTATCCTGTAAATTTTTAGCAAGTCAATATAATAAACATAGGTTTGCACAAAAGCTATAGTAATATGTATTACATTTAAAAATTTTTAAATTTCAACAAGAACTGTAAGATATCTTTCAATTTCTATTAAATAAAAGGTTATATTTCATAATTTTTTTTTGTTTGAAATTTTAAAGTTTTAAGTTACTTAAGTGATATATTTAAATTTTCAGGTAGTTGAGAAAGCATTTCCTACAGAAGCCGTTGGAGTTGTATGTAAAGTAGATGGAAAATATCAAGTTGTTGAGTATAGTGAACTTTCATTACGTACAGCTCAAAAAAGAAATTCTGATGGCAGATTAACATTTAATGCTGGAAACATATGTAATCATTTTTTTACAGTAGATTTTCTTCAAGAAGTTGCAGAGTAAGATTTATAAATTTTTAATAAATGTTTTAATTAATATAATTAAAGATATAATTATATATCAGTAAAACAATATAAAGGTTTTTTGTAATTCTAAACATAAATTTATTAATATAATTACAATTTGTTGGTTCATGCTTGTGTAGTTGTTATCCAACAACTACACAAGCATGAACCAACAAATTACAAAATCAAAAACAAAGATTAAACAGACAAATCTGAATGTTGCCATCCTTGATTTAATTTAAAGATACAACATAAACAATAAAGTAGCTGAAGTGCTCCTCTACTGGATCCTTATCATTTCAGAGTAGAGGAGCGCTTTGTGTTTTTGCTATTCCTTTGCATGATACTCATATAGACTGGTCTTTGGTATACATTGGAACTATGGCTATGTCCCTTGGGATGAAACTAAAAGAACATACACATAATGGTTAGTAAGAAGCTCTTCAACAAAGCTCTGGTGACATACATTCTGTATGGGGAAGTGAGGGTAAATTTTGAAAGTGCATGTCGACTTCATCTTACCTCGGATACCATGCACTTGGGATATTCAGAGGTTTAAAATTTACAATGCTGTTAGGAATCAGAGAGCAATCAATTTTAGAGTCTGATACTCTCACTATAGCATGGAGGGCATGCTACAAACTCTATCAGGACTTTTGTTCTGTGTAGTTACTAATACACTACTTGCTTGCAGGCAATTTATGTTTAAAGTTGTAATGTTAATATTTTAAAATTGTAATTTTAATTTCGTATGTGTTACATTGGTAATACCACATCAATGTGCATGCACACGATTCAAACCACTTCAAATCTTTATATTTAAATGTATTTTATTGTTTAATTAATGTTGTTCTGTTTGGTATTTATTAAGATATACCTGATGACAATTATTAGAAATGGACAAAAATGTTTGTATTATTAAATAATTTTACTCCTTTTACTGGTTTTGGATATATTTGTGTGCTTTTTTTCATAATCTGTTATGGTTATTTAACTTAATATTAAATAAATAAATTATTTATTTAATTATATATGTATATATGGCTATTTATAGTATTTTTTAAAGCAATAGTACATTTCAGACATAATCATAAAATATTAATATGTGAACTCTCTACCTATGTACTGTACTTAGAAATAATTACAGTCAAACTCTGTTATAATGAGCACTAAGAGGACCAGCAAGATTTCCTTGTTATAACCATTACTTGTTATATCAGTGAAGAGCAGTGACATAACTAGAGGAGAATGGGTGCTGCTTTGGGTGTGAACACACGGGGACACCCCAAAGACAGCAAAACTTGTAGCTACACTACTGATAATTAGTGAAATCTATCTATTAATTTTTATTCTAAATAAGTTGAGTCAAAATAAAAAAAAAAAGGAAATTACTTTATACTGTGTTTTTATTAGTAATTATGTAAACAATACAATTAATATTAAGCAATTTATTTTCTTGTAATTAAAGATAGTACTAATTAATAATATGCCAAATTTCAGTTAGTGTTTTATCTACAAATCTTAAAATAGATGTTTGCTTTATTTTTTCATAATGTTGATACTGTTAAAGAGGACAAAGAAAACTTTCTGCACACTTTGACATTTTTAGCACCACATTCTAACTTGCAAATAATTTCTGCTTTTTCATAAACCAAGAGACATTTTCTTGACATCTTTCTCATAGAAAGGTTCATTTTTAACTAGAGTATATGGTAATTTTACAATCATAGTGATGATTAGGGAAATTGGCAGAGTAATACTGGAAGCTAGTCAAAAAGAGGGGTATAGTCTCAAAAAAGTTAAATGATAAATAGGTCAATCCATGCAAGTTGTAAAACTAAGCAACCCTTTTAGTTTTATCTATTCCAAGAATTTAGTACTGCATTTCTTTCTAATTGAACTGAACAAGTAAGAATATTCGTGTTTGCATAGCTACCAAAAATTTGCTCAGTATATCGATGAAGTTTCCTTGTTATAACTGAGAAAATGTATGAAAATACACACAAATTAAAATTTTTATGGAATTTTGCTCATTATAACTGTAAACTCATTGTATCCATTTATAGAAAATATATTTCGTTTTGACTATACATACATAGATGAGTCTTTGTCAATTTTCTGTACCTTCACACACTGTACAAGGCAATAACAATTCCACCGGCGAAGTTGACCTTTCTATGTAGGCTACCATTCGCCGTAAAATGTAAAACAGTTAATAACATCCTCTAGCTGTCCCTTCACACGCTGTACAAATTTTATTTAATTATTATTTTATTTTTAACAAAATGTAATTATTGATTGTGTTATGCTACCACTAGAGGATGTTATTAACTGTTTTACATTTTACGGTGAATGGTAGCCTACATAGAAAGGTCAACTTCGCGGGTGGAATTGTTATTGCCTCGTACAGCGTGTGAAGGGACAGAAAATTGACAAAGACTGATCTATGTATGTATAGTCAAAATGAAATATATTTTCTATAAATGTCATAATTTGTCCTGGCAATTTTTTATTTTTAACAAAATGTAATTAATCATTGTATCCATGTTCATTATAACAGAGTTTGACTGTAATTCATAAAAGTTCTTAGACTATTCTTTTGCTATTTTAAATCTATGTTAATTAAATTCTTTTTTTAGAGGACATGAATTAAAACATCACATAGCAAAGAAGAAAATTCCTTTTATAAATGAAAATGGAGAATTAATAAAACCAGAAAAAGCCAATGGAATAAAAATGGAAAAATTTGTTTTTGATGTTTTTGAGTTTTCAAAGTAAGTCAATTTTTAAATTTTTTATGATAAAAAGTTTTTAAATAAAGAATATGTCAAGAACTTATTTTATTGGAAAATTCTGTTCAAAAAGTGATTATTATAATGTATTATATTGATAAAACAGAAAAACAGGTTATAATTTATAATTTGAAATTAATCAAACATATATGCCATTTAAAATACATATTTATAATACATAAATCATTGACTATTACTATATATTTATATTTTTTAAATTAGTTGAATGGGCAACTTGCTTTTCAATATCATGATATATTATTACATTTCTTGTTAATGCTTTTTCTTCAGTAATTGTTGATTTTGTACTCAAAATTTCATTTAATTTTAAATTAGAGATTATTTTGAATTTCTAATGAAAAACATAAAAAAATTATGATAAGAAATTTGTTTTACGCTTTTGCAGTATGTATATAGTCATAATCTCAGGAATAGATTTCTTATTTGAAAACCAATTTAAAAGTTTATCTGATCATAAATCTGAATAACAATCACTATGTAGCTATGTATACAAAGGTTATTGGTTAAGTTTTGATCAGAATGATTTTTGTGTGGAAACACATAATAGGTCTGATTAACATAAGGAAAGCATTATAGAGCTAATACAAGAAAAACTTATATAGCATGTTTTGTAAGCATATGAATCATGAAGAAATTAAATGTTCTGTTATAGATTTGGTCTTCTGAACTGTACTCTGCATTTAGATCTATGCTATTTTGAACATTTGATAGTCTTTTAGTTCAGTATTTTTGTTTTATTGTTATTGATAAAAAAAATTACCCTTTATGTGTATTTTTGTTTTTGTAACAAATATTCTCACCCATTACCTCTACAGTTTCTCATTTCACACTTTCATAGCTGTATAACAGTTGAAAATTGGGAATATGTTCGTGACTTTTTAAACTTATTTTCATATAAAGAATCTATTTCTGATGTTATGACCATACATTCAAAATCAGAACTTTCATAATTATTTATTCTAGATGAAATTTAGAATAAGCAATTAATCTGTGAAAAGAAGTAGGCCTATATTAAATAGTCTTAATAAAATTAATGAAATTTAGTTAAGTTAAAATAAATTTATTTAAAAGCCTAATTATTTTCCAAATATATTCAGCTTGTCCTGAAAATAGTGAGATTGAATCATACAAAATTTTATTACAAATTTTATAAAACACAAGCCTTCAAATTACGTAGTACTCACATAGCAGTTCACAGTGGCATTTGCAGTGAAAGAAAAGCTGAAAGTCTTTTTCTATAAGTTGATTTGTGAGGTCAGTTAAAGCTTTCTTCATCATTTCAATTAATTTCAAATTTTACTCTTTGATTTTTAATTTTAATTTAGAAATAAAAATGTCAAGGTAATGGTAAGATGGTTGGGGAGAACAGAGATGCCTGTTTCTGTTGAAAATTGAGTGATTGAAAAAACAGCATGCAACAATGCATGTCATGATGAAAAATCAACGAATCTTTGATTTTTAGGTCTAGTGCAAAACTCTTTTGTAAGACGCCAAGAACTACTACTAAGTAGTGCTTGTTAGTAGTTTGTTTCTATTCCTCAATTGTCAAAAATGCACAGCAGTATTGTCTTTTGACTTACTTTTTTTTTTACAAAAAGATGATTTTGTGTGTCACTTTTTAAAATTTTATTATCAGTCACTTTTCTCCCAGAGTCTCACACACAACATGATGGCATATTTCTTATCTCCATCTCCATGTCACACACTATTACAGTACTTCATTAGTAAAAGAAAGTGAATGTATATATGAATATTGCAAACTGCACAAAATGTTTTTGAACTCAAACTGAAAGTAAAAGGATTTATGCTATGTAAAATTGGTACATTTCATTTTGTGCTGCCACTTTACAAGCTACAAAATTAATTTCATTGCTGAAGATAAACTATTATTATTTTTTATTTTGTAACATTTTAAAAATCAAATTATTTTATTGTAGTAACTTTGTGGTATGGGAAGTTTTAAGAGAAGATGAATTTTCTCCATTGAAGAATGCAGAGGGTGCTCAAAAAGATACACCAAAAACAGCATTACATGCATTATTCAGTCTTCATCAACGATATATTTTAAATGCTGGTGGTAAATTTATTTATGATGATGGATCAGTCATTCCTTTAATTCCAAGGTAGGATGTAATCTAGATAAATTAAAAATACAAATTTTAATTACATAATTAAAAAAGACCTTTTAAATGCTATTTTATCAATTATATAAATCAATTTTTTAAATACTAATAGAATAGAAAAAGAAAAGCTTAAGGTATAACTATATAAATTTCATATTAACTATGGTCTATTTATTGTAAGTTGGCACCTACAGTAAACAAACATTTTGTTGATATCAATCCATTGGAGATTTTCATTGGTCATTCACAATTGGAAGTGTCTAGACACATGTTGACCAGTTAAGCCCCTTACTCTGCACATGTTAAAGTAGGCCAGAGTGGTCACAACAATTTAAAAATTACTGAGATAATACTACTTTAACATTTTTACATAGCTGTTTAAATTATTTCCATCATTTAAATATAGTTAATAACATATATTTAATAATAATTTTTGACAAAGATTTACACAAAATATATTTATAATTGTGTAGTTGAACATAGCTGTGAAGATACTTCAGAATTTTTATTTTATTAAATAGATAAAAAAACAAACAAAGCAAATTTTCCAGCTATTTTTAAAAATCATTCTCAAACTCCAAATGAAAACATTATGGTAATGTCTGAATTTATCTATGTGATATTTACATAATTAAAAATTTTTATAAAATAATTATAGTGTAAACTTACCATATCAATCATTTGTACCAGAAGTTTGAAACAGCAATAGTTATTGTAATGAATGGAAAACAAAACCAAAACATTATAATGCATATGACCAGAAAAACTTTATTTTTAATGATTCACAATGTCAGATATTCATTAAAAATACCAATTTAACAAATATGAAATAATTGCATTTATAATCATTGCTAAGTGACCAGTATTTCATTAATGATTTTATAAATAACAAGGAACTAGTTTCTGTGGACAAAAGAGATGCAATATGGTTTCTAATTGATGGATGTAACTTTAAAGCAATAAACAAATGTTTACAGTAGGTGCCAACTTAAGAAAAATAGACTATAGTTTTATATAAAAATAATTTTATTTAAAAATTATTCCAAGATATTTGTTCATATTATAGTCCTATAAATAATAATGTAGAATTAAAGAACAGACACAGAAACAATGACAAAACAATTAGATTTATATATAGCATATTTTTTTGCTATTTAAATATTCTTGTGAAGTTTTTTGGTATTAATACAAATTTTATTTTAATGCTCAAATATTTGACCTTTATTTTGTTATTTTAACGAATGTTTGTTTTCTCCTACTTTAAATTTCACCTGTTTTCTTTAAAATTTCATATTGTTTTTGAAATAGTTAAATTACTATATAGCTTTAAAATCATAAAAATTCATTTTGCCTTGTCTAATTTCTCTTTCATTGATCATTCCAGTTTTCTAATGAATACTAAGAAATCTGATACTTATTTAATAAATACATTATTTTTGTGTTAGGGTATTCCTATTCTTTCTATAGATGATTGTTGTTTCAATCTATCAATTCTATTTGAATTTTTATTGTCTTGCTTAAATAATTTTGATCAGTCAAAAAAATTATTTATTCAATTAATTCAAACGTAAGATTTTTTTTACTTTTTGGTATATTAATGTACATTTACAGATAAACAAGGTAAAATAAAAATAGTTTGAGTTAAAATAGGGTTATTTATCCATTGAAAATCTCCTCATAATAATTATACAAAATATACATAATACATAAAATCAATAATTCTCTGAAATATTAATATAAAAATATCTTTTAAAATATTTATTTTAAGTGTTTAAAAAAAAAGCTGGCTATAATCCATCATATACAATTTATTTTAACTAATAGTCTTAATTAAAGATAAATTTATTTATATTTTATTATAATTGAACATTTTATTTTAAAAATAGATTTATATCCATTAAATTAATGTACAGCATGTTATGAGCAGTCAGAAAACAAATTCAGTGTTTAAAGATATCTAATAAGCAAATTATTGTAATGTATTAAAGATTTCATTCTTAATTCCTAATTGTGTAACTTTTTATTTATATTTGAATTAGTATTAATACAACTTGGGTAGCTTTTAAGTTTCATATTATTTTATTTATTCCACATATTAAAAAAAATGTTTACAATAAATTAATACGTTATTTTAGTAGTGGTGCACTTGATTAGTATTTTTATTTAATATAAAGTATATCAGTGTTTATTTTAAATTTTGCTTTACTCATATGCATGAAAATTAATGTTGTTATTTTATTTGTTAAGCCTGATATTGCATGATAATCGATTTATTTTCCCAAGGAATCATGGATGTAAGATTGTTTGCTTAGATTAGTTTTTTTATTTCACTTATTGCATGATGGATGCAGGCACACAGCAGCTGATTCTACAGTTAACACAGATGAGGTCCTTAGAAATGGAGATGGAAATTATGGGTATATTAACATTTTCTCTTCAGTTATTTTTGTAGATAAATTGTTCACTCAGTATTTAAAATATTTTAAATAAAATTTTTCTCTTACAATTAAAAAAGTCTATAATGCCATAAATGTAATGTAATAAATTAAAATTTAAAGAAAAATCATTTGTTTTATGAATGTTTGTACTTATGACAAGCAAATTTTTGCAAGATGCTTTATATAATTAAATAAGTTTAATTAATAGAATAAACTAGCAATAAAATAATGAAACTAATAAAATTTATACGAAGAACCAATGATTTTCTTGTTTTACATATATTAAAAATATTTTGCTCCTGTAATGAAGTAATTTTTCAATTATATGAATGTAATGAATTAATAAAATTATTAATTTTATTTTGTAAATTTTTATATTAAGTTAGATTGAATTGGAATTGTTTTAAAATCTATTTACTCAAAAAGTAAATTTAAATGAAATTGCATTTTTAATAAATTTTTATCTAACTCCATACATTACTTGAAATTATTTTATAAAGTGGTTTTAAAATTATGTATTTTATTGAGAATTTGAATAATTTTGTTAAAATAAAGAAAAACTACAAAAACTGTAAAAAAAATTCAAGTAGAAATTTTTATAGAAATTACAAAAATGAAGACTAACATGAAAATGTTTTTAAGTCTCCTAAATGTCCATTTCAGTTTGTCAGAACACACTCAACATTAGCAGAGAGAATCCTTTTTAAGTCCTCTCTGCTGATGCACATGCAAATCATCTAATTCTCACTCTGGCATCATTCTTACCATTTGCATATGTTTAGATGAAGAGGAGCCTATAAATAAAGGTTCTGATGACTAAAATGGGCATGTGGAAAATTAAAATGTTTTCATATTAGTTTTCATTTTTGTCATATGAGAGCTATTTTTTAAATAAGGTCCGTTTTTTAATAAGAAGAAAAATACTGTAAATATCATTAAAATATATTTTTTCCCATATTCTACATACTTTTATCTACTTTTCTACATAATTTCCATTTTTGTTCAAACATTTGTCATACTGCTCAACAATTTTTTGAATTCCAACTTCAAAGAAATCTGCTGCCTGTGAAAAATCCAAATCCATGACTGCAGTTTTCACTTCATCGTCATTGAACCATTGGCCACCAAAAAACTCCTTTAAGTATCGAAACAAATAAAAATCACTGGGTGCAAGGTCTGTACTATAATGTGGATGATACAATTGTTTCCATCCAAAAGAACTGATTAGACCTTGTGTTTATGCAGAAACATGTGGCCTTGCATTGTCATGGAGCAACATCATACAGGAAGACAGTAGACCATGCCACTTGTTTCGTATGGCACGCCGGAATTTTCTCAAGGTCACACGATATCCATCAGAATTGATTGTTGTGCCTCTTGGTATAAAATCCACTAACAAAATCCCTTTCTGTCCCAAAAGACAGTTGCCATAATTTTCCATGCTGAAATGGACTATTCGGCTTTCACTTTGGTTGGCGAATGAGTCCTGAGTCCAAGCAACAGTCAATGGAATGTGTGTCCCATTCCATTGACTGTTGCTTGGACTCAGGAGTCATGTGAGACACCCAAGTCTCGTCTCCTGTAATAATGTGGTCCAACAATTCATCTCCTTTCTGATCGTATTGAATCAAAAACGATAAAGCACTGCCCAATCTTTTTGTTTTGTGATCGTCAGAAAGCAGTCTTGGAACCCACCAAGAACACAATTTTCGATAATTCAGTTTCTCCGAAACAATGGTATACAAAACTGATCTTGAAACCTGTGGAGATTCAATTGGTAACATTAAAATCGTGAATTGTCAGTCCTCTCAAATTTTATCCACATCACAAATCAAATCTTCAGAAATCGGAAAAGGTTGGCCAGGGCATGGCTCATCATGCACATTAACTTGCCTGACCTTGAATATTCTTACCCACTTTCGAACTTTACTGTCACTCATAGCATTATCACTGTAAACTTCACAAATCTCATGGTGAATTTCTGCTGCTGCCAAGTTTCTTGCACTCAAGAATCGAATAACAGATTGTATCTCACAGTCAGTGGGTGACTCAATTTTCTTAAACATTATAAACTTTTACAGCTCAGCACACAGACAGACTATACGGCTGCAAGTGGTGTCTAAACACGCGCAAAGCATGCTCGAAGCAGACATACATACACTCTGCCATGATCGCATGTCATTCTCACTCTCATTCACAAATGGACTGTGTTTAAAAAATAGCCCTCTTATATTCCTTCCAGGGGATTCTTAATGATACCTTTTTAAAAATAAATCTTAAATAAGTTTTTATTTTAAGAAAATATAAATATTTTTTTGAAAAATTCTGCCCAAAATATCAAAAACTGGCCCTCTAAAAACCTCACTCAATTAAAAAAAAATAAATAAACCCAAGTCATTTGTATTTTGGTTAATTTAAATAATAATAATAATAATAATGTGGTTAAAATTTTTATATAAAAGACAATCTAATGGGTTTCTAAAATTATACATTTCTTATATAGCTCTGTTGCTTTCTGCTATTTTCCAGATAACCAATCTGGCCCTGTATTTATGTGTTCAACAACCTTATTTTTCTTATTAAACCCAGATATTTAACACATGCAAAAATAATGACCATTGTAATGATTTTTACCTATGATGCCAAACCATTGAAATACCATAGATAAACAAATCCCTCTGTATCATTATTTTGCACAAATTTTACATGTGATATGTGGAACAAAAGTTTTGTCCTGATCATTTAACTTCATTTTAAAATATGCTAAATACACCATTTATCAAGAGTTTGTAATGTTTTTCTGCTGCTTCATTATATAATATCCACATATATAGCAGAAGCTATTTAGAATTTTTAGGTAGACACTCCTAGATGCACCATCTATAAACATTAATAACAACAACAACTTGTCTTAAATAATGTAGCTTATATATACAGCTATATTTAAGACAGGTTGTTATGATTAATGTTTATATTTATATGTGTATATGGAGAGAGATTGAGAAATCTACAATGAAAATCCAGAGGGCACTTTTGACTTTGTCATATGATTAACCAGGGCTGTTTTTCAAATGGAACATGCCAGTAGTCATATCATTATGTAAGATGAAAAAGTACTAGTAACTTGCTCAGTAAAAATAATACTATATGTTCAGTCACTATATATTTACTGGCATTAATTTAGAACCTACAGAGTTCTGCATTCAAAATCTTTGTAGACTTGTGGCATTATTATTGATAAGTCTAATCTAGTAGTTACTAAACAAAATGTATTAATAAAGATAAACAAATTCATCTTACTTTTATAATTATTTGTTCCTATTTCAGCCAGAAATCTTACTTGAAGTATGAGGATCCTGTTGTCTGTGAAATATCTCCTTTATTGTCCTATGATGGTGAGGTATGTATTTAATAAGCTAAATTAAAAACAAATTTCTTCCATACTATTGGAAATGATAACATACAAAATATAGTACAAAATATAATTCAATAATGCAAGTTATTATGTTGGAAATTGAATCTAAAAATATGTTCTTTTGTTTAATTTACAGTTGAATTTCTATATTCTTAATGACATTTTACCTAAATAAAAGCTAACTTGTTTGAATTATTTTGTTTTATTTATGTTAAGATAGCCAAATGACTACCTGACTTTTAAATATTTCATGTACGTAATACAGTAGAGCGTTGATTATCCGAAAGAATTCCAGTCGGCAAATTTAAATTTTCGCCAGTGCTGTGGCACTGCAATCTTTGGCTATGTCTTGGGCTACTCAAATATTTTACGTTTTTAATACTAAATTAACTTCTAAAGTATAATTTTTTTATTGTTTTTATATTTTNCCAAAGATTGCAGCGCCACAGCACTAGTGAAAATTTAAATTTACCGACTAGAATTTACCGACTTTCAGATAAACGACGCTCTACTGTAATAAAAAATCCTCAATCTTAAGCAGTTTTGAGAAAAAGGAATTAGTTTTAAGCTGTTGGATTTATACACTTTAGTGCCGCTAAGGCTATATTGAGAGCAGTGGGGAAGCGGATGATGCTATATTCCAAGGACCTGTCATGAAGACAAAATACTAGAGAAAGACTGCAAACATATTCATAAGAGTGGGTGGCATAGTAATGCTCTGCTCCATGAGTGGATATCTCATGGCTGTTTTTAGTTTGAATTTTCAAAAAAATGTGAAGAGAGACAACACTAGCTAGCAACTTGGAAAGAAATATTTGTAAGGTAATATTTTTCCAGATTTCATCAGGTTTGCTCACATTTGATTAATGAAAGTAAAAATCCATACATTATTGCTTCAAATATCAGAATTTGTAAAAGGAAGAAAAATGTGTTGAAAATATGATAGCATCAAAAACAAAATTTCAGTTAGCTTTGTCAGTCCTTTTTAAACATCCTCTTGGCATTGAAAGAACAAGAAAGAGATAAATTCAAGAAATATATCCCTTTCTTGTTCTCTTTTTAAATACATCAACAGTGATCAACCATCATATTCATGTTCCAGTATCTTTAATTTCTTTTGTTTAATTGCATTGAAACACTCGTAATTTTAGTAGCAGATTTATTTTTAGTATCATTAAAAGTTAATAACTTATCTTTGAACAAAATATTCTATGTTTTGACATTAGTAAACTCAATTAGTTAAGTTAAACATATTTTAAATTAAATTTAATGTGATGGGTGAGCCTGCTTATTTTGGCACAATAAATTAAACCTGGGTTTAATATCAGTCAGTGCAGGTCTCTTAGCGATTTCTATGTTGCAAAGACAAGAGTGCTGCTTTGTTTTGATGTTGGTCATTACTGAAAATGCCATTTCTCATAAATAAGTGGTTGCAAATGGTAAGAGAACTGCCATTGCTAATTCAGAGAGTAATGAATACTTTGCTTTCACACTAAGCCAAAAAGAATCTACTATTTCTAAATATGAATCCATAGTAAATTTATAAAATATTGAAAAAAAATTGATTTGTCAAATTTTTCACGACCCCCACTTTGAGAATCACTGAGTTAGATGACTGGCACAACTGTACAGTCAACTCTCCTATAACACTGTTAATAATTCTGTTTTATATGAATTCCATGTTGTATGAGTCACTTAGATTTTACAAATACATGAGCCATTCACAGCCCGGCACACATATTTGTAAAATCTAAGTGACTCGTACAACATGGAATTCATATAAAACAGAATTATCAAGTGTTATAGGGGGGTCGACTGTATTGTTAAAGGAAATGTATGTACAGGGGCAAGCCACTGTGGATAGCTCATATTTTAAATTAAATAAATTTAAAAATACGATTAAAAATTGCAGCCTGGCATTGTGATGATGTCACAATAAATAATTGCTTGTTGACTTTATATGACTTTAAATATGGGAAACAAAGGAAAAAGCCTTAGTGTTATTATTAATAAAGAAAATTTAACATTGATTGTAATAATAATATTAAGAACAAGCAATTTGAAATTTCTTGTTCTTAATATTAAGACTAAGTTGTCAAATGGGTACAAAATCTTAGTATTTTCTTGATGTTGGAGTCAGAACATTTTTACAAATTCTGATTCCATTCAAAATTGCTTCTGACTTGACTCCACAACACTGATAAATTTTACAATATTTTTAGAAATCAGGATATTTTGTCTTAATAAAATTAGACTCAATTTTATTGAAGCCTTTCATGCTTCTTTTTGAACTTTCATTATTCTCTTCAAACTGTTTATCTGCTTGCTGGTAGTTTTATATTAGATTTCACAAATATTTCTTTCATATGAATGAAAGAAATGATAACAGGCTCAACCAATCATCCATTTTAATTGTCAAAGTCAAAAGAGGCAATTGGTGGTGGCAGTTATCAACATTTAATGTTACCTTAATTTTGTCACCCATTTGCATTAAAATTAACACTTAATCTTAATATTTATAGCTATTTTTAGTAGATATATAGAATAATTATAAGAATATAAAGTTTTTTAAAATTAAATTTTATTTGTAGGGTCTAGAAGAGATAGTTGCAGGGAAAAAGTTTTCTCCGCCATTAGTATTATGGTCAGCTCAAGAAAAGGAAATTCAAAATGGAATAAATGGAGAAATTATAGAATAATATAAACTACTCAATATAAACTTCTATTTGTCCAAATTTTCAAATGTATTTAAGTTAAACTATGACTGTCATTGCTGTCGTCATGATGATTAATAACAAATGTGCATTATGATGCTCATAATGTACAGTCAGAATTTTATATATTTTTTAATTTCAGATGTATGAGAATGATAGGGTTTTTTTATACTTCAGAATAACATTTCTCTATTTCATTTATGGTGGGAACTGTGATGAATTTATAAAATACTTTATTGGTGCACAAATGACATTTGATTTCAGATAATATCTAAATTTGGTGTTGTGAAGTTGGTATTTTTTTAAAAATTGAATAAGCACATTAAAGGAATTTGGTGTTGTAGATTCATTCCACTTTACGGGTGTTTGTTAAATATTTTCCTTTGTTTATCAATATTGCATTGCATTGCATATACTCTTGAAAAGTTTATCATTTAAAGTTATGTGATCTGAATTGCTGTCTTAATTTAGAATGTATTTATTGCTTGTCTTTAATATATTTTGTGCAATAATATTATGATTTTAAAATATTCAAAATAATAATTTATGCATTGTCTCGTATATTAATGTACTTATATAAGAACCATTAACATTGTATATTTCTCTAAACTGTTTTTAAAATGTAAAGTGCCTTATGCAAGGCATGATGTTAACTCAAAATATAAAGTGCCTCATTTGAGAAGGAATATGTAAACTTTGCTTTATATTAGTGATTCTCAATTTTCAGTCAGTCGTAAGAAAGTCTATTTAATATTACTTACTCGTTAGAGAGGCACAAAACACATCATATCTAAAACAACTTTGTACAAAATTTTTTAAGTAATTTACACTATTTAATTAATTTTTATGGCTAATATTTTAGATTAGCTCAGTGGTTCTCAGCAGTGTACCCCAAGAGATCAGAATATTATGAAAGTGAAAAGAAACTGATTTGCTACCACAGATATAACAACTCTAAGGCCTACAGAATAACAATTATTATAGTACACAACTATTTATAATTTAAAATATATTAATATATATTTTTAATTTAGTACACAAAGTGCAGCAGAAAAACTTTTCACATTTTACAGTGTGCCACAAGCCAAAAAGTTTGAGAACCACTGGAATAGCTACTCTAAAGTTTTTAACCAGTTTTTACATTAATTTAAAATTAATAAATATAAACATAGATTATAACACTCTGTGTGTGTGTATGTGTACATATAATAATGTAATTATTTCTTTAAAAAAATACAAAAGCTTCAATCCATAATATGTACGTAAATTTTTTTAAAATTCATAATAAGTTCCTGTAACTGTACGCCATCAAAGAAAATGTTGTCATCAGTATTATTACATGTTGTTGACAAGAGATCTGATAAAGCGTTCAAATTTTAAGATAAAATTTACCAAAACTTATTAGTATATCAACATTAAAATGTACTCTGAGAAGAAATTTTAGTTTAAAAAGAAAAAACATATTGTACTAATATAGTGAGGAGAATCCAGAATGAAAGACATGAATACTTCACTAGAATATTATGGCATGTAATAAAGAATTTAAGAGTACTTACGTATGAAGAGCTAGAGCTGCCATTTAAAAATTTTTTTTGTATGAAAATATTTGCATATACTTCCTAATTAAAATTTCTATTAGCTGAGAATTTCACTAGTGTAACAACTAGTAGTATATAAATATTTAATCTTATAACTTTTCAAGAGTATATAGATATGTAAAAACTGAAGCATACTCAGTTGTACTGTATAATAAAAGTAGCATTAAATCAATGGAATTATATTTAATGAAAATTCGTATAAAAGAAACATTTTATTTTTAATTTCTTGATTGACATGTAAAAGTTCTGTTACTGACCCAAAAATTACTTTTTAAAGTATTAATAAAATAGGACCAAATTCATTGTTTTTATCAAATCTCAAGAAACATTTTATATCTAAGAAAATNAATTTCCATTTTTGTTCAAACATTTGTCATACTGCTCAACAATTTTTTGAATTCCAACTTCAAAGAAATCTGCTGCCTGTGAAAAATCCAAATCCATGACTGCAGTTTTCACTTCATCGTCATTGAACCATTGGCCACCAAAAAACTCCTTTAAGTATCGAAACAAATAAAAATCACTGGGTGCAAGGTCTGTACTATAATGTGGATGATACAATTGTTTCCATCCAAAAGAACTGATTAGACCTTGTGTTTATGCAGAAACATGTGGCCTTGCATTGTCATGGAGCAACATCATACAGGAAGACAGTAGACCATGCCACTTGTTTCGTATGGCACGCCGGAATTTTCTCAAGGTCACACGATATCCATCAGAATTGATTGTTGTGCCTCTTGGTATAAAATCCACTAACAAAATCCCTTTCTGTCCCAAAAGACAGTTGCCATAATTTTCCATGCTGAAATGGACTATTCGGCTTTCACTTTGGTTGGCGAATGAGTCCTGAGTCCAAGCAACAGTCAATGGAATGTGTGTCCCATTCCATTGACTGTTGCTTGGACTCAGGAGTCATGTGAGACACCCAAGTCTCGTCTCCTGTAATAATGTGGTCCAACAATTCATCTCCTTTCTGATCGTATTGAATCAAAAACGATAAAGCACTGCCCAATCTTTTTGTTTTGTGATCGTCAGAAAGCAGTCTTGGAACCCACCAAGAACACAATTTTCGATAATTCAGTTTCTCCGAAACAATGGTATACAAAACTGATCTTGAAACCTGTGGAGATTCAATTGGTAACATTAAAATCGTGAATTGTCAGTCCTCTCAAATTTTATCCACATCACAAATCAAATCTTCAGAAATCGGAAAAGGTTGGCCAGGGCATGGCTCATCATGCACATTAACTTGCCTGACCTTGAATATTCTTACCCACTTTCGAACTTTACTGTCACTCATAGCATTATCACTGTAAACTTCACAAATCTCATGGTGAATTTCTGCTGCTGCCAAGTTTCTTGCACTCAAGAATCGAATAACAGATTGTATCTCACAGTCAGTGGGTGACTCAATTTTCTTAAACATTATAAACTTTTACAGCTCAGCACACAGACAGACTATACGGCTGCAAGTGGTGTCTAAACACGCGCAAAGCATGCTCGAAGCAGACATACATACACTCTGCCATGATCGCATGTCATTCTCACTCTCATTCACAAATGGACTGTGTTTAAAAAATAGCCCTCTTATATTCCTTCCAGGGGATTCTTAATGATACCTTTTTAAAAATACTTTTTTTTAATATAAATTGAAGATGTAAATTAAAGACAGCATTCTTTTTATTTATAGTGAAACTTTTGAATATGACATTCTTCCAAATTCTATCCAAATTTGGAATTACAGATTCATTTTTATAAACATGTATATAAGTATTGTGATATGTAATTTTTTTTAATGTATTTGTTATTGTTTTTGATTTCCTTTATAAGAACTGGCTAATCCTAACACACCAATATTATCATAGTGAAAGTGCAGTATACTGTACTTGATTTATTCTTAGAGCGTTCAATATATAGGCCTATGTATGTATTGTTTTTTTTATTATTTGTCAACAGTTTCCCCGAAAAAGTTACTAATCATAAAGTATTGGTAAGGCCATATTTTCATATTTATTTTTTAAAAAGACTGTGGATTTGTTTCTGTTATGATTATTTGTCGTTGCTTCCGTTTGCCGCAGGCTGCCTATTTCAGTTTGCAGGTAATTAATTAAAGAATTGTGTTAAACTTGTCTGACAGCACAGCGGAAGTACCAGTTAAAACGGTTCACCTCAACGTCCTAAGATTGCAGCCTCTATTGCTAACGATACGAATTTGAAAATTGCAGTTTTTTTCGTATGAAGATGATTACTTCAGGCTGAGTGGATGACAATATAGAAAATAACATATGCACATCCATACAGAAATTATTCCCGAATTTTTTTTTTTTGCATTTCTCGATGTTTCAAGATGTCCTAAATCCAAAAATTTATCCCATTTTAATGATGATTATTTTAATTTACTTAATTTTATTATTCTTAATTTATTTTAGTTTCACTTGTTTTTCGTTCTCACTTGTTTTGATTTTAAATCTACACCATTTATCCAGAACCTTAATTTTTCTCAGGGTTTTGAACATGTGTAATATAAATAAACGTTAAGTTTAATGTAATTTATTACGCAGAATTTATAATTGTACAAAAAAAAAGGACTGCGGGAATGCATATCTGTTCTTTTGCACAAAAATATGCGATACAAAATAAAGCCTATTCTCTTCTTCACGTGTATTTCTGTATAAGTTCGACACAGCAATTTTATGCTTTTTCCCCAATGAACATAGAACAAGAAACAATCAAGTATTATTGTATTTTTCGCTCTTCTAGCTAACACTATCTAGTCCACGTGTAAAAAAAAGGCAATTGTTTGCATCCTAAGTTTACACGATGAAAGCGAAAGTATATGTTATATAGGTCTGAACATAATAGGTCTAAGCCAGTGGCACGTTTATAGCTTTGGAGCCCAGGCAAATCTGAATTAGCGGTCCCACATACAGTACAATGTTGACTTCAGAAATTTTGCTTCGGGGAAACTTAGATTGGTATAGGGCTTCCTATTGGTGAGCCCCCGGAAAAATTGCCCTTTTTTGCCCATAGGATAACGCGCCACTATGCTAAGCTGGAAGCTATTAGGCCTTTAGGCTGTTATACACAATAGGGAAAGTATGGAAATCAGTCAAAAAATGTCCCCAAGATTTTCACATTTTTGGATTCGAGAACTTGAAACGTTGGGAAATGCAAAAAAATGAGTTTTTTTTTTTTCCTGTATATATGGATGTTAGTGTGTGGGGTGAAAATGATTTTGTCCTCTCACTTTGAAGCTTAATTAATACCTCCCGTGTCGTTTGTCGAGATTTTCTGAAAATTCGCAGAGTGTTTCTATATTAGAGGATTGATGCTATTAAATATTGATGGTTAAAGGTTGAGGGGTGGGGAGACAAAGGGGAACTGTGTATCATATCGAGTAGGGTCTGACTTAATTAAGATTTTATTCATGAGTTTTATGAAAAATTGTAAATGCTAATCTGTCAAAATTAGGCTTTTTACCATTTTATAATAACTAACTTTTTTTTAATGAAATAACAACAAATGGATTTTTTTACAGGATAGCCGTTTCGAAGTCACAGCACTATGAGATAGCTAATTAACCTGATCGGGAATAGAATCTACTGAAACAAATTTAAAATAATTACAGCTCACTAAATAAAATAAACAAAAAAGTTAGATTTTAGTTAAAAAAAACAATATCTACTGTATAAAGACAAATTGTTATATTAACTACAGTACCTTAGTTAACAAATTTTTACTTTACGTAAATATAATATTTTGAATAATGTATATCAGTGTATTAAAATTTTAAAACATAATTAGAATCCAGAAGAATCAGTTTAAAATTTCATAAGATCATAAATGTATTCCTAATCGTGAGAGATAATGCAATGAAAGTTTTTGCTCAAATTGCTTCTTGCACTGTGAAATCTATTATAGGCTAATAATATAAAATTAAAATATCAAACAATATCATGTTAACGACGACTTTAATCGAAATGTAATCAGACTAAAACAAACTTCTCTTCCAAGTATAATAACTCAATTATTTATCTTTCAATCAAGCATTTATATTCTCGATATTTTACACAAAAGTTAAAAACATGGCATTCTTCTTTACTACGCTATGACAATAAAAGTCAAGAGAATTCATTCGAATTTTATAAAATAAAATACAGTCTGAATGACGTAGGCTACACAAGATTTGTAAAACTTTTTCCTCTCCGTCAATCGTTATAAAAGTCCACATCTAAGAGTATTTTCCTGAAAAATAATAAGCATAAATTACTAAATAAACATATTAATCTTCTGAAGTCAATCATTCAAATATTTTGCAATTATTTTAAAATAATAATAAAACATGACAATTAATTACTTACCATAAAACCATATAATTAAGTCCTTTTGTAGAAGTCAAGTTACTTCTTAATCAACAAACCAAGTGTTGAAAAGTGAGGCTAGTTTATTAATCAGTGTGTAGTTTCTTAAGTAAACTCGTTGGTATAATGTTGGAGGCATGTAATAACGTTGAGATGTGAAATCGTCGTCTAAATACACCGAAGAATTCATCATATCCGTGTACGAACCGAGCCATATTTTAGTGTAAAAGTCCTGTCGGAAGACATTACAAATTACATTTAAATCAAATATTACAAACTTATAGTAAAGAATAATACGGCAAATGTTTTATCATCAAATAAGACATAATAAAACATGAATAATTGTTATCGAGTACGAGCAATTCGACTCTAAAGCGTTTTATGTTACACCTATTCTCGTTTTAATATATGGAAAATCATTAAATCGTTAAGAAATGAAAGATTCTTAGACTCACCTCTAGTACATCCACGTCCACGGGTCGAACGTATCTACCAATTGCATCGTTGGCATGAAATCCGTCGCCATGATTACCGAATCTTTCTGCTTTAAATCCTTTTAAGTACATCCGTTCTAAGAGGCAAAATCTGCAGATTTGATAATTGTCGCAATTTCCCGTTTTGCTAATGCATTTGTATCCACCGACGAAAACGATGGCGATTATAAAAAATCTGACACAGCGTTTGCAAGCAAAATTTCCATAATAATCGGTCCAGGCTTGACGGTCGCAGATCACGCATTTGGAATTAATAATGCTACCTAAGAATACATCAAAAAGACGTTTTTAAAACATTCAAATATATTATGAGAAACTACAGGATGATCCGAAAACAAAAAAGTTTTTACTCAGGAGTTATTGAATTTACTCAGAAAATAGTCTCAGAAATAAAGTATGACGACTCGTCTATGCTTACGTATGAGAGGCATATTTTAGTGATGAAGACACCTATCGAGATTTTAAAGGATAAACTGAAATTTAAAATAATATCCTTTAAGATTTGCATTCGCAATTGTTCTGAGATGCACAAAAACAAAATGAGATCAATTGACTTTCGGACCACCCTGTAGCATGATCTATAAAATTGTTCAAACTGAACGATTTTAATTTTCATGGACTTAAATAAAACGAGAATAATACAAACTTACCTCTTTGCCTTCGAAACTGCTCAATCTGTTCAATTGAACACATGTTCACAATTATTAATCGACAAGTGTTGGGATACAGGCAGATTTACACAAATGTCAGTCGTTCGATTTGTTCTGTGGAATAGCGTTTAAGGTACAGAAGGTAAATCCTGAATACGAGTTACAAATATTCGTCACCTAGGAAATATATACCGGTGACGTTTCTGTAGACCAATCAAATGCTAGGTGTATTTTTTCTAGTAGACGATTGGCAGTTTATGTCACTGACGGAACTGCCAATCATTCACTAGGGAGGGATCACTGGGCAAGGACTTCCCAAATGAAGAAAGTTGATAAAACTATGTTATGTATTTAAAAGATTGTACGTTTTTCGCTAACTTTTATATATCATCATATAAAAAGTGGAAAGAAGAAAATGATGTAGGATGTTCAGAGATATAGAACAGTTGAAATTTTTGAACATCTTTATTTGTCACAGAACTACTACTCCCTCACTACGGTACTCCTCCGTCAGGTGTTTTCTAAGGCAAGACACCTGGAACACTAAGAAGAATGCTAATAAAGAGTTCATAATCTTATATATATATAGTATAACTTACATATAAATATATTACAATATATATCTGTTTTATTCCTTCCAAAATACAAAAATTAAATAGTTAAAATTCTTTGTCTCTGTTCTTTTCTTTGGAATATTCGTCCTTTTAAACTCATTCTCTCTTAAAAGTATAGTATATGAATTTCAAATTTGCGATTAGTGTTGATGTATATTAATTATAATTATTACTACTGTTAATTCGTAACAGTAGTAAGCCTGTAACCCAAAAAAATATCCCAGGTAGAGATCATTGTTTCACGCACCGATGACTCCGTTCTTGATTAATTGAAAGCATTCGGAGTTTTCTTTGTTGTAACTTTTCTGGAATTATAATTAATTCAATTGAATCTCCTTCGATAACTTGTCGATTTTGTATTATCTTAGAAAATATAATATTTAGAATTAAAGTCTTTAAATGCTTTTCTTTCTTTGTGTTATTTTTAGAGTAGAGCAAATAAAAATGTATTTTAGAATTTTATATTTGAGTTTTTTAAGTTTAAATAAAACACCAACAAGTTTAGTAGATTACCAAATAAAAAGCTGTTATTTGTTACGGAAATTTCGTGATGAATCCGATAGATTATTATTTTATTTTTTAAATTTTAAACACCTTGATTGTATTGTCGTATTAGGGTTAATTGCCTTTTTGTTTGAAATCTCGACAGGTGTTAATCGTGGAACCACGCTCATTTGCACTAATCTCTTGTTAAATGTGTATAGATGACTCCCCAGAGAGCTTAATCTCCCCAACGACTAATGACTGTCCATTAAAGGCATTGTAATAATTAACAGGTCTCTCGAGAAGTAAAGTAACCGAAAAAACACTTAATAATACGGTTAATTGAAATTATTCCAATTATTAAAAGCTACATTTTTGTTTCTGCATCGTGCCCCATTAATTCATTATTATTTTAATATTCTATTAATGAAACAATACAATTATTCTTAATTACCACTATTAAATTTCCTAGAGTTATACAGTATTTGCATATTTAAAGCACTGAATAATACATGTTATAATCAGAGATTTAAAATATTTTGTGTTTAAAATGCCTTTTTCCTTCTTTAATCAACCTTAAATAAACATATAATTATTAAAGACATTTAATGGATATATAAATATACATAGTATTTATATATAATCTAAAGAACTTGAATAAGGCTGTTTTTCATTTATTTTAATCTCACTTCTCCTTATTACAGCATTTTATTTAATTTCCTTTGTTTATACCGAAACAGTGAAAAATAAAAACATACTTTAAAATGATTAATATAATATAAAAGAATAATCATCATTTAATACTTTAACAATCGTTTATAAAGTTCATTATGTAATGTCATAATGGAAAAGAGGAGCGTTTTGTTACGAATCTTGTAATAAAATAATTAAGCTTCTAAAAGAAGTAAAATTTTTTTTTGAATTTACTGTAATTTATTATTCATTAAGAAATCCTTTAATGTGTCACAAAAGTATGGATTTATTAAATTTATACTTTTATATATATTAAAATTCGGGTTTAAACAAAGAAAATTTAATCGGTAATTAAACTTTTTATTTACATAATAGAAATGATTAAAGCGAGAAGCAATAAATGGTACTATTTAAATCTTATTAAATTTTTTACACTTTGGTTCATTAAAATCTGTACCCAAAAAGGAGGGGTGTGAAAGATAATTGTGATGGGTTCCGAACGAATTGAAATATTTTGGAAAATTTTTTACGGATATTAAGTTATTAGAAATTCTTTCAGATTCATCATTTTCCTAATTACTGTCGACCCCCCTATAACACTGTTGATTATTCTGTTTTATATAAATTCCATGTTGTACGAGTCACTTATATTTTACAAAATGACTCGTACAACATGGAATTCATATAAAACGGAAAAATCAACAGTGTTATAGGGGGTCGACTGTAATTAATACACCATTTTTAAAATTTAAATATTCCGATTACTATTATAGGGGCTCGAGCTGATCCTCTTTCCAAGCCTATCACAACTCTTTTTCTTACACGTTCATTTTATAATTATTCTTCATATAAACAGTATTAGTTTTAAAATATTTACTTTAAATACATATTTTAGAAAATATTCCAAGTTTTCCTGTAATTTTAAAAATGATCTTCAACTGTCAGTAAAAGAAGCAAGCCTCTATTAAATAGATATACCAAAGTAACAGCAGTGTTAATTTTCCTCAACCGTTTTCGGTCAAATTCACCATCCATCTTCAGGAGCTGAGATTGACGACGAGATTGCCGTATATTGCGTTGCCATATCCTATCAAATCAAATCAATTAGGCCGTAAAACAGGGGTGATATTGGAATTTGAATTTGATTGGATTTTTGTTATAAGGCAACGCAACACGTGGGCGATCTGGGGAGTTTCTACGGGAAACTGTCCCCTATTTAGTTAGTGTCCGTGGAAAGAATCAACTTGGGTATTAACGATTGAGCAACGGCGCCCGTACTACATTGGGGCACCCGCCGCCCACTTTTCCTAATCCCCAAGGGAAGCCCAAACCACACTAGACTTCTAGCCTATTCTGTAAATATAAAAAAAAAACTAATGAACGATATTTGCCCATTGACCGATGAAACTTTGTCCTATATTGATCTAAAGCCCATTCCTTGTTTTCAAGGCCAAGATAGCCCGAGTTCAACCAGTGCCACCTTTATAGGCCTAGGAGTGCTGTCCGACGTTGAATCATGAGTTTGAAGCTCCTTGCGTAATGCACGATAACCTTTTTTTATAGTTTGTGCTCCCCTTTTCATAGTCTGAAGGAGCCACTGCCAATGAGTATCAGCCATTGATAGCTTAGTTGTGGCAAGTTACTTCCGCTTTCTTTCTCCTTTGTTAAACACGTTACCGCCGTTATAAACAGTGTTATGGAAGATTCGCGTTCTGTTATTGGAATACGAGGAAGTTCGCTATAGTATTCTTTAAATGCACGATTCTTTATAGTTAATGAACGCTATAAAAATTAACGCAATTAACGAAAATTTAAATTTAAAAAATCTTAATAAATTTTATGTAATTATGAAAAAATGAAAAATCCAAATGAGTAATAGTTGAAAAAATCTTTATTATAAAATCTGTGCTGTGTAAAATAGCTGCAGGATAATATATCCCACTAGTGCTAAAAGTATGGCAATGCAAATAAGTGATAAGCATAAATCAATTTCTTTACATCTATGTCCAGTTTCACCTGAAACAATTAGATTATTCATCTCTCTTCATTCAAGAAAAAACATCACATAACAATCTCTTAAAATATTACAGAACAATACAAATACATTAAACATACAAATTATGGCAAATAATATAAAATGCATTGTAAACATAACATTGTATAAAAATAAATACATCACATTTTTTCTTTTTAAATATTCAAACAAGAAAATGACAAATACTTTCAACATTAACACACAAATATATTTAAATTGGAATAACTAAGATTTTTCACTCTTAAATGAGTGACTTTAAATCATTTCGTGCTTTTGTATTTGTTGTCTCCACCTCAATAATGTAAAAGGAACTGTAGTATAAACACATTCATTAAACAAACAACAATATAATTCAAAGTGCAACATGTAATAACACATTGTTTTATGAATGTATTTTGTTCAGATAAAAAAGTTATTATTGACAATACTGTTATTGATTTTTTTTACAAGTCATTATATTTTTGTTCTTTTGACTATTCTAAAATTATCCCAATCAGGGAAAAATGGGCTTGTAACTACATCACATTTTAATATATACTACATAATGAATATACAGATAATGAAATTGTTGTAGAAGAATTCTATCATATTTTCATTATTATCTTCTTGTCTACTTAAATTTAAATTCTATTTAATTTAAATAACTTTCATTTCATTATTTTCACAAACGGTACAATATTAAATTTATCAATTTTTCTTTTATTAACAACAAAAACAGTAAATAATCATTAAAATAAAGAATTTCTCCAATAAAATGGAGTGAAGTGAAAAATGCAAGTATTGGTTTTCGATAAGAAATATAATTTTTTAAATCATTTTAATAAATAAATATATCTGTAAGTTAATCAAAATCACAATTTGTCTTATTTTCTAACAAATATGAAACTTGGCAATCTTAATGTATTCTTATAGGAATTTGGACAAAATGTACAGGACGGTATAAATTCATCTTTCAAATTAATTTAAACTTAAATATACTTTCTCATGTAAGTAAACCGAGAATAAACGAAGAAATCACAAAATAAAAATTAGATTAAAACCAAACTAAAAATAAATCTACCATCAAAACTTTGAATCATCTTGAGCTGGAACCATACTCTAAAGCTGTCTTTTAATATGAAACATTCTTTCAATTGAAACTTTTAGTTTCCGCAACTTTAAATTCAATTTTCTAACATTTCTGTTCTCTGTATGAATCTAATTCATGTCATTTGACAAAATGATTTTGTTTTTAGCCAAATTACTGATAACTTTATAGAATGAAGAGATTCATCTCAATCAGCTATCAAATGTTTCACATTAAAAACAGAACTTTTCTTTCAGTATTTCACTATTTATAATGTTGTACTATATT